CGGTGTGCACTTTTTCGACATCGCAACTTCCAAAAGCCGTCCGACACTGAGGTGTTTTGTACATTTGACTTGGAAATGTGCTTCGCGCCACAACGGCGTGCACTTTTTCCACATCCGAACCTCCAAAAGTGGCGCGAACATGTGGTGTTTTGTGCATTTTGACTTCGAAATGTGCTTCGCGCCACAACGGCGTGCACTTTTTCGACATCTCAATTTCCAAAAGTGGTCCGAACCCCTAGTGTTTTTAACATTTTTGACTTCGAAATGTGCTTCGCGCCACAACGGCGTGCACTTTTTCGACATCTCAACTTCCAAAAGTGGTCCGAACCCCTAGTGTTTTTAACATTTTGACTTGGAAATGTGCTTCGCGCCACAACGGCGTGCACTTTTTCATCTCTCATCTAGCCAGCTGGCTCCTGCACCCGCTGCTTTAGCGAGCCTACTTTTCGACCCTCCGGAGCCCCAAATCATTGGAAAAACGCAGTGTTTCGCGACTTTCTTACCTTTTCGCGCATCTGCATCTTCTTTCTTCTGACTCTTTCTCTTCTCTGCTCTTCTCTCTTCTAATCTTTCTCTTCTCTCTGCCTCTTCCCTGCCCTGCTTTTCATTTGTCCATATTGTCGGAAGTTTGACTTCTAAACTTCCTTCGATAACATACGGTATAACCCTAATGGAATCAGTGATCCCATGGCAGGCGGTCCATGAGGATGCCTTCGCGCCGCCTCCAGCCCCACATCCGGTGCCCCGACCCGTCGCAACTGCTGCGACGAATCCATCTGGGCACATCATTTCCTTGGGCTCAGCGGCTCGGCCGAGATATGGTGAGTTGATGTGAGTTGATGACAGGAGGATGACTGAAATACATTGAATAGTTGTATTACTGTATAATGTTGTATTCAAATCTACCATGTATTGGCCATGAATTGGGAATTCACATCAAAAGCAAGCAGTAATTTGAGGGGAAGTCCCAATCTTTTACACTGCTCATGTATCAATAGCCGAAATTCTAGAACAGATCTGCATAGAAATATGGCGTGAAAATCGGAATTGTCAGGAATGATTCTTAGGTTTGAAAGGCAAACCTTCAGATCTCTGACGCATCCATGGCGTCCGGTGAATCTGAATGACTGTCCTACAAAAGCTAAGCGCTAGACAATTGGGACTGCCTTTTGATGAGCCCCGCCAAGGTGGGACATCCCTTCAATTGCGCGGAAGCTTGCAAATACGTCAAGCGCAAAGGCCTGCCATCCATGCATCAGTTATCACTGTTTTCACCATGGGATGGCCGGGATGTGGCATCAGCCATTCCCATTTGCCAACTTGCTGGTTTACCCCGTGTCAACAGACACATTTTGGTGAAAATTGAAACCCAAAGAACATGCCATCGATCTGCTGATGTGTCTGGGACATTGGCCAGGTGGCTGCCGCGATGGTGCGAATTGCACAAAGTGCCATGAGTGCTTCTGGAGCCGCATTCCGGCAGGTGGGGCTGATGTTGAGCAGAAACTTCCAGAGCCTCAGCGGCTTGGCTGTTGCCGGGAGGTTTCATTACTATTGGCTTTGTCTGAAAATGGGAGATGCCAGAAAAAGGCAATTTCCATGGGGAAAATGACGATCCTATCTTCAGACAAACCCATAAAGGGGTTTGGGTGACTAGTATATTTTGCATGAACATGGGAAATCATGGGAAATCGACTCATTTCTGGTTTGGAGGATTTCGATTACCAATCCTGGAGGATGATGCCAAATAACTTCCTTATCTTTCAGGGGGCTGAAATCGAAACCACAGCTTTGAAGTCGGTGAACTTGGAGGGCAACGGATAGCGGTCAGCCTCGATTCCTAAGGCTACCAATGGAAGCTCAGCCCTTCTCAGTGGGATCCGCTGGACATCCCTACACCTGCTCCAATCCCTGCAAGTATGTGTGGAGGACAGGGTCTTTTCGATGCATATTTTCTTTGTTCATTGTGAGTTTGTGATCGATCCTTAACACATCAGGGCCAGATGCTGCCTAAAGGGTCTATATAATTCTGCATACAGTATTGTACATAAGCAATCTCTGCATTGCAGTCATGAGACAATTGCCTGATATGGGTTTGTCTGAAACTGTGGTAATTATCTTCAACGGCTCAAAAATTGGGGAAAACAGGGAATACCCCATTTCCCGACACCCAAATGAGCATAGATTTTCGCAAATGGAGGAAGCAAGGCTGCCGCGACGGTGCGGACTGTCCCAACTGCCACTACTGCAAGTGGCAGCGCCGCCCCAAGGATGAGGTCCCAACCCCCAACCCTCCTCTGGGGGTCGTCAGCCAAGTCAGTGAGAACTTGGAAGCCATGGCAATTCCTCCTCCACCAGGGTTGACCCCAATGGAGCCAGAAGTGACCCACACGACCCAAGAGAAGCTTGGCTGCAAGTCATGGACTGTGTAATGACCGTGGTTGCTTTATTTGAGTCACTTCGCGACGAGTACAGTACCGCCGGCACCCACAAAATATAGGTCAGGGATGACTTTTCGAAGTTGATGAGTATGTAGTTGGGGATGTGGGGTGAAGAACACGGCCTGCTTGGCCCAATGAAAGCCGACTGAAATTAAGTTGGGCCGAACGGGAGCCGACTTGGGCCTAATTTGGGTGTAATTTGTGCCGAACTTGGGTCACTGGCTCCAAATTAGGCCCAATTTGAGCCCAACTGGGGTCCGTTGCTCCCTGGGTCCAACTTGGGGCCAAGTTGAGGCATGTTGGACCCAAGTTGGGCCGAAGTTGGAGCCAAGTGGGTCCAAGTTGGACAAGGCCAAAGTTGGCCCCAAGGTGGGCCCATGTTGCGGCCGTGTTGGATCGAAACGTTGAATTTGGACGATACGGCGCCGATATGCAAAATGTGCAAATTACCGCAGCAGGGAAAATCTTTGTGGCCGGTTTATGTGTCGAAAGTGGCGCGGGGCTGGAAAGCAACACTTTCTTATTCTATTTTTTTTATAAGTGGGATTGTCGCCAAATAATAATAATAATATCAAAGACAAAGGCTTTTTTAAAACTGTTTAAGGTTATTTTAAATATTTGTGGGACATTCGCCGGATAATTAAACGAATTAAGGCAATTAAAACATATGGACTTTTGTCTTCTATTTTTGAACTACTGTGCCATTCACTACAAATTTCTGGGAAGTTGCAGTCATAAGGCTTGCCCATCCTGCCTTGAAGGCTGAATTTCCTTCCGCTAGCCGTCTCAGTTTCTTCGGGTTTAGGACGTCGCTTAAGGCATTCGTGCCGCACATGCATGGGTCCAGAGAAAATCGGCAGTGAGTGATCTTGTGTGTGTATTTCAATTAGTTTTGATTATTTGTGAGACTCTTGACGAAGAATGAACATAAGCAAAACAAACAAATATTTATTCATTATTGCCCAGGGGGGACCCTCACTCAAAAAGAGCCTTTTCATGGAACAACTTGATGAACGTTGCATTTTTGAAGCTTCATTTCTGGCCAAGGCTTTTGTTATTATTTTGTTTTTTTTACAACATATTATTTATGTATATTACTGTATATGGTCTTTTTCTATTTGTGGGACATTCGCCAAATAATTACAATAGTTAAAGCATATAAAAAACTAGACGACGGATGGCCCGAGAGCGTAGAGGAGCAGGGTCTTCTCTTGTTAGTATGGAGACACCATATTACAAAACAATATATTAAAGATGTGTTATAGGCAGTCGAGAAGAGGAGTATCAAGACAATATAGCACAAGTACAAGACAATAGTTTGCATCGCAAACACTTTTACACACAGAAGTTTTTACACACAGAAGCTTTTACACACAGATGCTTTTACACATAGAAGCTTTTACACAGAGAAGCTTTTTCACACAGAGACTTTTACGCACAGACGCTTTTACACACCGACACTTTTACACACATTCGCTTTTACACACAGACGCTTGTACACACGGACGGTTTTACACGCAGACACTTTTACACACAGACGCTTTTACACAGACGCTTTTACACACAAAGCTTTTACCCACAGAAGCTTTTACAGACAGAAGCTTTTACACACAGACGCTTTTACACAGACGCTTTTACACACAGACGCTTTTACACACAGACGCTTTTACACACAGACGCTTTTACACACAGACGCTTTTACACACAGACGCTTTTACACACAGACGCTTTTACACACAGAGGCTTTTACACACAAACACTTTCACACACACAGACGATTTCACACACAAAAGCTTTTACACACTTTTTGACGATCGAACCTCGTTTCGTGCGAAAGGGTTGCGCGGAGCAACTTGAAATCGCAATTTTACCTCAGTTTTTGACGATCGAACCTCGTTTCGTGCGAAAGCGTTGCGGCGGACACCTTGAAATCGCACTTTTACCTCAGTTTTTGACGATCGAACCTCGTTTCGTGCGAAAGCGTTGCGGCGGACACCTTGAAATCGCACTTTTACCTCAATTTTTGACGATCGAACCTCATTTCGTGCGAAAGCGTTGCGCGGGACGACTTGGGAATCGCAATTTTACCTCAGTTTTTGACGATCGAACCTCGTTTCGTGTGAAAGCGTTGCGGCGGACACCTTGAAATCGCACTTTTACCTCAATTTTTGACGATCGAACCTCATTTCGTGCGAAAGCGTTGCGCGGGACGACTTGGGAATCGCACTTTTACCTCAGTTTTTGGCGATCGAACCTCGTTTCGTGCGAAAGGGTTGCGTTTCGTGCCGTCTCGTTGGCACTGCCCCTGCCCCCGCCTTCAGAGAAATAAAAAAGAAGGAGAGGGCAAGAGGGGCAAGAGGGCAAGAGGGGCAAGAGGGCAAGAGGGCAAGAGGGCAAGAGGGCAAGAGGGCAAGAGGGCAAGAGGGCAAGAGGGCAAGAGGAGAAGATGTGAAGATGTGAGGATGTGAAGATGTGAAGATGAGAAGATGTGAAGATGAGAAGATGTGAAGATGAGAAGATGTGAAGATGAGAAGATGTGAAGATGAGAAGATGTGAAGATGAGAAGATGTGAAGATGAGAAGGTGTGAAGATGAGAAGATGAGATGTAGACCCCCACTATTGGAAGAACCCTGCGCTCAGACGCTCTCGGGAATAAAGGCTTCTGAAATTTTCTTCTTGTTTTAGATTTGTTTTCGTTTTCCGGAGACTTTCGCCCAATAATTCAAATACCTAGAAAAGTTGAACAGTAAAGCCTTCTTTCTTAAGTTTGATGTATTTAGAATTACTTTAACTATTTGTGGAACACACGCCAAATTTAACAGCCTTCGACATTCCACCGGCCATATGGCCTTTGGCCTACAGGCCCAAAGCAGGGGTTGATTAAAGCTGGTTGGCGCAAAAGGTTGGCTTGTCGAAAAAAAGCTGCGTGTAGAAGCTGGTTTGTAAAAGTTGGTTGGTGCAAAAGGTGGTTTGTGTAAAAGCTGGTTGGTCAAAAAGTTACTTTGCGTAGAAGCTGGTTTGTGTAAAAGTTCCATTGTGTAAGAGCTGGTTGGTTGGTTGGTTGGTTGGTTGGTTGGTTGGTTGGTGTAAAAGGTGGTTTGTGGAACAGTGAATTTGTGTAAAAGTGGGTTTGTGTAAAAGCTGGTCGGTCTAAAAGTTGGTCTGTGTAGAAGCTGGTTTGCATAAGACCTTCGAGATTGAACAAAGAAAGTCAAGTTGGTAGATGCAAGCGGCATGGCTGTGAGACTGCATGCGGAGAAGGCCGTGAGCGAAGAGGAAGAGCAGGAGTGGCAGGTGCGGATGGAAAGTGTTGGGCGCAAAAGCGGCAGGTTGGAACGTACTGCTGCCTGGAACGGGCGGGAAACCGTGGAGAAAACGTGGAAAAGTGCGGCATCCCAGGGGCATCCCAGGGGCGAGCCGGAGGAACGAAAGAGAAGACGGACATGGGAGGGCGAAGGAGGATGAAGGAAGAGAACAGGAAGAAGAAGAAGAAGAAGAAGAAGAAGAAGAAGAAGAAGAAGAAAAGGAAGAAGAAGCAGAAGAAGAAGAAGAAGCAGAAGAAGAAGAAGAAGAAGAAAGGAAGAAGAAGAAGAAGGCGATGATGATGACCATCATGGAGATGATGATGATGATGATGATGGTGGTGGTGACGATGACGAGGACGACGATGATGACAATGACCACCGAGGACCGGGACGATGACGATGTAAATAAGGTCAGTGCAGGTTTGCCTGAGAGACGAGACGAGACTAGAGAAGACGAGGCTAGACTAGACTAGACTAGACTAGATTAGACCAGACTAGGCTAGAGTAGAGTAGAGTAGACTAGACTATACCAAACTATAATCTAGATGTGGAGTGGGAGGGCAGCAAAAACAAAAAATCCGTAGAAGGAGATACGGCAATTCAAAACAAAATCCGTGGAAGAAGCAATCTAAAGATGAAGCTAAGCTTTCACAAGGTTTATAACAAGAATATCCACAAAACACGCTGGCAGGCCGGCGGATTTTTTTAAAACAATGAAACGATTAAAATGCTGTGCTGGGCCTCCGAGATGATTTAGTGATTTTGCATCATGCAGGAGCTTCTTTCACGCACCTGGACAGAGAGGGCGACGGCCCACACACGGTGGCAGACAACGTGATGGCTTGTTTGCTAGGCATGGATACTGCAAAGTTTCGTTTCACTTGGTTCTCAATCATGATGCTGCAGTCCTATTCCTTTTCTGAATTGCTTGGACGCACAGCGCCTCTGCGGCGCACTTGCTCTTCTTTCCTGCCGCGCATGCCTGTGATTCATTGCCGTCCCGATGTCTTGGTTGCATCGGAACAACCACATTCTGCTCCATCCTCGAAGCCTTGCCTCGGGAAGTCACTTCAAGCACGGTTAGAGCCCGTGCCATAGGAGGGCTTTGCTCATCAGAGTCAAGAGCCAGAAGCAAAGGACACGCCAAGTGAAGTTGCTCGCGAGAGGCCTCTCACTTGAGCAGCCAGGTTCTACATTGCTTCCAGGGAAGTGGTTGTCCAGAAACGGAACCGGGTGCGATATTGGAACAAATCAGTGCCTCCAACCTTGCGGCAATCATTCGGTTTGCTCGGAAAGCCCTTGCGAGGCATTCGCATTCCTTTGTTACCTTTCGGTGCCGTCTCTCCTCGGCTTGCTGCTCTTAGGCCTACACCTGACTGGCCGTCGGTGGAACTTTGGTGGATGCAGCAATTTGACCCCCATGTCCGGGGTCTTCGCTTTGACTCCCATGAAGAGGGACACCGGTATTATGTAGATAGCACATTAATGGAGTCGTCGGTCACAGGTTGCTGAGCCAGTTCAGTTCTGTTTCGTGGCTCACGTGTTTGTTGCCAGACATGGTGACAGATCGTGCATATTCAAAAAGAAGTCTGGAGCACAGTGACTAAGCCATTTGTTGACAATGTTGTCGGTAGCTTCTGTCCTGTGTGAGAATCTACTCTACTAAAACATGTTCATCCAATTCTGGGATGAAAAGCATATCTGAACCTTTTGGATCGCTCCAGTGTCAATAAGCTCCTGCATTGGCTTTGTTTCGTTGTTGGTCTGACGGATTGCTTTAAGCAGTTTGGTCGAAAGCACTGGTAGCAGACATTTTTTCCCCACCTGCCAGGTGAGGGTTGTTAGATTTTATGTCAGTTGCCTCCTCGTCCTCCTTCTCTCCTCCTCCTTCTCCTCCTCGTCCTCCTCTCCTCCTCCTCCTCGTCCTCCTCGTCGTCCTCGTCGTCCTCGTCGTCCTTGCTCAACTGCGACCCGCGATCCACAGTGTTCTCTGCCGGACCTCAACCACGACCATCCACGCCCAGTGTTCCCTGCCGGACCTCAACCACGACCATCCACGCCCAGTGTTCCCTGCCGGACCTCAACCACGACCATCCGCGCCCAGTGTTCCCTGCCGGACCTCAACCACGACCATCCGCGCCCAGTGTTCCCTGCCGGACCTCAACCACGACCATCCGCGCCCAGTGTTCCCTGCCGGACCTCAACCGCGAATATCCCCGCCCAGTGTTCCCTTCCGGACCTCAACCACGACCATCCGGCCCACCTCAACCGCGAGTATCCACGCCAAAAGATATGCCACATAGAGTGCCAGAAGATATGCCAGATAGAATGTTAGAAGATATGCCAGATAGAATGCCAGAAGGTATGCCAGATAGAATGCCAGATAGAATGTCAGCTAGAATGCCAGAAGATATGCCAGATAAAGTGCCAGAATGTTTGCCAGATAGAATGCCAGCAAATTTGTCAGATAATATACCAGAAGATATGCTAGATAGAATGCCAGAAGATTTGCCAGATACTATGCCAGAAGATATGCCAGATAGAATTCCAGATGGAATGCCAGAAGATATGCCAGAACATATGCCAGAAGATATGCCAGAACATCTGCCAGAAGATATGCCAGAACATCTGCCAGAAGATATGACAGGTAGAATGCCAAAAGATATGCCAGATAGAATGCCAGAAAATATGTCAGATAAAATGCCAGAAGATTTGCCAGTAACAAAGTGTATAAATGTCATGGTGGGGATCACACGAAGTAAAGTAATTGAGCTAAAGCAAACATCATGGTTCACGTCAGTGTTCCCAGATGCATCAAACGTGGATGGGCACCATCTTTTAGACATGACGAAAATGTTATGTCAAAATTAGTGGAGGGCGAATTTGTGGTCACAACATAAAAAACATTCGTGCGCACGCATGTTCCAAAGGTTTCGTGTTGATTCAAAACGAGATTATTTGAACCGAGATGCTGGCTTCAGTTTGAAGACCTAATCACCTCCCATGTGATTCTGACTTCTTGGTCCAACACCTCTTCAAGCACCCTGAAAATGTCAGGGAACATATTTTTTGAACCGTGTGCAAGTGCGTTCCGTCGGACTGCAGCAGCAGCCGTAAAAAATATGGTTCCACACAAAGAAGAATAGTGATACTGCTCAGGGAGGTTTTATAACTGGACAACTTTGTCCGACGCAAAATGTTGCACGTTCAATAAATGGCTGGTAGCATAATTTTCATTGTGCTGCTGGATTGAAGCTGGTGTTGGCAAGAACAGAGGTGCACGTCAGACAGACCCAAAAGTTCCCCACCACCTCCCCCCCAGCTAGAGCTGTACCAGTTGAACAGTTGGTTCATTCGTTGCATCGGCTCCTGAACTACCACGCCTCGGCACCATCGGTGCGGATGGATTTTTTTGTTGTGGCTTTGGTTAGCTTTCCAGCACCAGCTGGCAGGATATGTGGGTGTTGTCAATGGAGCTGTGCGCATTGCTAGTCCCGTTTCTTCGGAACAATCAATTGGTTCACCTCATCTCGGGATTTGGTGGATAGGATATCACACGCTTACTTAAATTGCCTTTGCCCGTATGCGGTTGTGCGGAATCTCGTCTGTTCCAGGACCACAGCAGACAGTGAGACCGAAGCTTCTGCAGCGCTCGAGCACTCAGGTCCATTGACTTGCTGTCCTCTGTGGGCTCCTTGGGCCACCCATACAGCAGTGGGCCCCAGACTGGTGAGTTGCTGGGTAAAATGCAGTTTCAGTAAAGCCCCGCGCACTTCATTTCGACACGGAATCATATAGCGTGTTTGGCAACTCGGCCTTTCAGTTCAAGTAGGTGTTTGACACATTGCGAATAAGGCTGTGGGCTGGCTTGCAAGTACGTCGGCAAAGCGAAAGGCCAGTTGCAGCAGCAAAAGATTTCAGAGATTGGGACTTTCCGAATTTTTCTTTTGCTCCTCGTAGCGAGCTGCCAGGCTGCAAAGATGGAACGCTGTGTCCCAACTGCCATTTGTGCCGTTGGAGCCGCTATGCCAACCTCAAGGTTTTTCACTTGTGAGGCGGTGGCACAGTGAGCATCGGAAGGCTGCCCTCTGCGCTGGTCTCCTTCCAGCCTCCCTGATATAGGGAGACAAATGGATGGGAGGTGAGGCAAAGATCAGACGTTGTGAAGCATGGACACAAGGCATGTCACACGTAGGTGATTTTCATATTCATGTTTATTGGTCCATGTTTTGTTTATCTTCATCTCCCTTTTTACCTTTGTGCTCATGTTTGTCTTTACTTTCATTTCTATGTTCATCATTTTCACAATCTTTAAGAGTTCATCATCTTTATGTTCACCATCGTGCATTCATCATCTCTCCGTTCATCACCTCAATGCTCCCAACCTGGATTTTGTGATTTATTGTAAAACTCTACAATCATATAAAACAATCGGTTCCACGGCTTGAAGTTTATACTTTTTGGACGCTGTTCATCCTTGTCATTGTTTGTGCAAAATTTCATAATGTCTTCAACATTGTTTTCCATAGTTTTCCCTTATGTTTCATGATTTTTCTCAATGTCTTTCTCTTGATCATTCGTTTCATCAATTTTCCGTCAGAATTCATCTTTTTTTACCATCACTAATATCATGTTCTCTTTCAACAGCATTTTCAAATAATCGCTTTCTTAACAAATACATTTTCATCATCATTTCAAAACCACAATAATCATAATCGTCATCATCATCATCATCATCATCATCGTCATCGTCATCATCATCATCATCATCATCGACATCGTCGTCGTCATCATCACCACCATGACCCTCGCTCATCATGATAGCTTTTGATGATTATACTTGATCTTTTGGCCAAAATGTTTTGATCATCATCATTTTCATCTACTTTGCACTTTTAGTCTTTTACATCTAGTTTCGGTGTTAACCGGCTTAATATGTTGACCTGCTTTCCTCTTTCTCTTCCTTTTCGTCTTTATCATCTTTTTACTCTAGTTCATAGTTTCCTTTCTTTCTCATCGTTTTCCCCCCCTCCCCCGCTCTCGCTCTCGCTCTCGCTCTCTCTCTCTCTCTTTTTCTTTCATATTTATATATATATATAGATATAGATATACATATATATATATATAAACATATATATATATATTCTTTTTCCTCTGTCTAATTTTCTTTCATGTAGCTCTTTTCATGTTTAGCTTTTTCCCATCCTTATCATCGTTCTAATTGTTTTCATTTTTTTTTCTAAACGCCGTTTTCATGTTGTTCATCGTCATCGTTTTCATGGGTTTTTTCACTTTTCAGAGCACCTTCCGCACGTTTTGCAGTTGTTTTTTCTTACATGTTTTTCTTACATATTTTCATTTTTCACCTTTTCATTTTCCACGTTTTCATCTTTTAATCATGTTTTCACCATCTTTTCAATATTTTTTCATCCTTGTTATCATTGTTCATCCTTGTTTCTCATTGTTCATCTGTTAGTCTTTGTTCATCTTTTATTCATATTCATTCATCTGTGTTCACCTCATCACCTTGTCACCTTATCACCTTATCATGTTTTTGACCTTTTCATGTTTTCACCTTTACCTATGGCTTCTTCACCTTATCTTTTTCACTTTATCATCCTATCATCCTATCATCCTATCATCCTATCATCCTATCGCCTTGACACCTTATCGCCTTGTTGCCTTGTCGCCTTTTCACCTTTTCACCTTTTCACCCCTTAACCTTTTCACCTTTTAATCTTTTTCATTTTTTCGTCATTCAGTCACTTCCTCGTCACCATCATCGTCATCGTCATCATCATCGCCACCATCATCATCATCATCACCGTCATCGTCATCGTCATCGTCATCGTCATCATCATCATCATCATGATCTTCATCTTCATCTTCTTAATCGTCAGAACACTTAAGGCTACCAATCATCATCATTCCCAGGCCATGGATTGAAACAAATTTGGGGAAGTTGATAAAATCGGTAAGAGGGTCTCGCTTCAAGGTCCAGATCTAATTATATGTTTGGGTTTTTCACCATCTGATGCCTAGATTTTCGCCCTCTCCATTTCCCTTTCATGATTTTTGCGACTTACCTGTCCCACATGAAATTTTGGGTTGCGCATGTAAAACATCGTTGTGCCCGTGGCCCAGAAGAGCCATTGAAGCATATCAAAATCTAAAGTTTTGGATTTGAGTCTGTGTTGAGATGGTGGGCAGGCTTCGAAGATTGGAACGAGCATGCATCATGATGGAATACATGCTTTTGCGTCGATGGCAAATAGCCACAAAATGATCTTGGTGCATGACAAATCCAATTTCAGAAGCTTTCTGTTTCTGGAAATATTTTGTCTCGCTTTCTTCCGCCCGTACGCAAAAGCATCCATCGTCAGTTGTCACTCATCGTTGATATGAGATTGGCGTGACTTTAAATCCAGTGTGACTGTTGCAGGAGGTGCAAGGCTAGTGACATGCGCACATCAAGTGGACGCTGCGAAGCTTGGAATCTGAGGAAAACATAGACAATAATACGCCCAACACGGACTGATCCAAAATCTTCTAAGAGCAACATATATGGAAGAGAACGACTGGGACATGTTGAATCATGTGGAACGTGAATACCCGAGATTCAAAAACAGTCCCCACATGCGCTATCCACCAAGAGGTGTGCTCTCCCTTGTGCGGGTGGCATCTACTGGGCATCGGTGGATCTGTGCCCAGGCCCGATGCTGGAAAAATTTGGAGACTCACCCACGACCCTCCTGTTCTCGAAGTCACACGGTGAAACCTGGTCGAAGACAAGATTAAAATAGGATATGATACAGCACATGGTTCCGTATGGTATCCATTTCTTTTGGCCTGTTTTGCCCAAGCATTGAGAGTGCTATGTGTTACCGAGAACTGCACTAAAATTGAGTTCCCTGCTGGAGAGATGAACACTTTTTTGGCTGATGGGCTAAGAAAGGATTGAATGGCTGCTGGCTGCCAGCGTTTGGAGGATGCAGGCCTTCCTCGACCGTTCAAGAGGACCCGGCTGTCATCAATCCACTCATTAGCACGCAGTTTCCAAGCAACTGCAAGCAGAAAAGTTTGATTGTTCCATTGGATTTCATTGGATTCCATAGGCAAAAAGACAGCAACTGATGCTACAGGGCTATTTTTGTGGTTGCGCGGAGGCTGGCTTTGCCTATTTTAAAAAGTAACTTCTAGCTTCTACGGGTGACGGGCGCATTTGTCGCCTGAAAATAAATCGTCGCACATGCGGGCAAGTGTAGTTTCCACGCAGCTGGCCGTTGCCCACGTCATGATTTGAAATAATTTTCGATATACCACAGCGATGTTGCCATGACTGGCAGTGGAACTTTGCCACAGCGGTGTGCGCGATGAAGCGAGACTGGGGCTTGTACACCACTGCCCCTCGCGTCAGACTCGAATGCCTTCGAGTGGTGGCAAAAGCAGAGGAATGAGCTTGGAGCCAAATTCGAGCTCTTGGCCCTTGTTAGGTTTGCCACACACCGGATGCCGAGCAAAATATCGTGGCATGGGTGTTGGGTCCAAAACAACCACCAGCCTGGGCAGTCTCCCATTAAAAAGCACAAAGGTAGTTTGCTTTCATCATTTTTTTAATCAGCCAAGCCGTCCAGCACACAATTCAACAGGTTGAAGTGGCACGATGCACCCATATGCCCTTGTGAGGGCGGAAAAGGTGTTCTTGTTTGCTGTCCCGTTCTTGGCAGTTTTGTTGTTCCGCAGTGTATTTGGACACAAGATGTTAAGCAAAAAAAACCCAACTGAGGAATGATAGTTTTTGAGCTCGGGGTTCAAGAGTGTCACCAAGGAAAGAGTAGCAGAGCAGAGCAAGTGGCCGCTGGACCATGCTTGACCACAGGGATGACGTCGCCCAATTCAGTGACCGAAGCTGTGTGTGCAGTGGCTGCTCAGAGAGCGTCGCTGAAGCCGCAGTCTGGGCAAGTTGGAAAATTGGCTGCGGATTTGCCCATGGGGTGAAGCCCCAGTGGGGGCGTCGCCACGTGCAAAAAGAACCGGGCCCTGGGGCTCTTTTACTGGGTTCGCGTTGGTGGGGAAGAATTTGGCCAGGCTCCGCCTCAGAGTTGGTGACCCTCGTTGTGACCACTTCACCTATCCCCTCCCATCCATCACTGGTTCTTTTGAGGACGGAAAGTGCGAGCGCCATGGCATGCCCTTGCAACATGGCAAGTGACATGCAAGCCCATTTACTGTATCACATACCAGATTATATCAGATTATCAATGTATTTGTAGCCCATTTACTGTATCACATACCAGATTATATCAGATTATCAATGTATTTGTCTGAATACCTTTCCACCTTCCTGTCCACCGCTCTCTTGATACATAACACACGTGGCATCTGGCAATCAGTTCGATTCGCTTCAAATGGCCCGTGTGAGGACTCTCCTGAACTCCTTCCGCAAGCACCTGGTGGACTTTGAGAATTACAACCTGCTCTTAGCTGGCGGCCTCAGATGTTTGGATGCGATTGTGAGATGTTACGCAATCTAATTGTGTATATATATATATATATATACAATATATATCTGGTTGGTGGTTTGGAACATTTTTTATCCTTCCATATATTGGGAACAATCATCCCAACTGACTAATATATTTCAGAGGGGTTGAAACCACCAACCATATATATATATGTATATATACACAATATATATAAATAAATAAATCATACACATATATATATATATAAATAAGACATATGTATATATGTATTGTAAAACTATACAGTGTACATACACATAGTGTATATGCAATCGAAGGAAGTTCAGAGTCATACTTCCGACAATATGGACAGATGAAGCAACAGAGGTAGGAAGAGAAGAGAAGAGGAGAAAGGAGATGAGAGGAGAGGAGAAGAGAAGAGAATAGAAGAGAAGAGAATAGGAGAAGAGAAGAGAAGAGGAGAGGAGAGGAGAAGAGAAGAGAAGAGAAGAGAAGAAGAAAGAAGCTCACAGAAGAGAAAGAGTCAGAAGAAAGAAGATGCAGGTGTGCGAATAGGGAGAAAAGTCGCGAAACTGTGTTTTTCCACTCTTTGGTGGCTCCGGAGAGTACTCGCTGAAGCGGCGGGTGCGGAGCCATCTGGGGAGATGAGAAATTAAAAACTGCACGCCGTTGTTGCGCGAAGCAAATTTGGAAGCCAAAACTTGAAAAAACCCGCGGGCTCGGAACATTTTCCCCCACATCTTTGTGTGGTGTTCTTGTTTTTGATTCTGTATCCCGCTCCCGCTCCCGACCGCTCCGCGCCCCCATCTTTGTCACACACAACTTTGACACGCACACAACTTTGTCACACACCATCTTTCACAGACAGCTTTGTCACACCACATCTTTCACACACACTCTCTTTCACACACAACTTTGTCACACACACACCATCTTTCACACACACACACACACCAACTTTGTCACACACACCATCTTTGACATGCCACGCCTGCCACGCAAAACGAAGGTGGATGTCACCAAGTGCCACACCTGCCACGCAAAGTGGCCCAGCGCCCACACACACACACCAACTTTGTCACACACACCATCTTTGACATGCCACGCCTGCCACGCAAAACGAAGGTGGATGTCACCAAGTGCCACACCTGCCACGCAAAGTGGCCCAGCGCCCCGGGCGACCCAACGCGCCCAAGCGCGCCACCAGAGCCAGCCCAGTGCTCCAAGTGCCACGCCTGCCACGCAAAACGAAGGCAGATGCCACTAAGTGCGACGCCTACCACGTGAAACGAAGGTGGATGTCACCAAGCGCCACGCCTGCCACGCAAAGTTGTGTATTAAAGATGGTGTGTGACAAAGTTGTGTGCGAAAGAAGGTGTGACAACGTTGTGTGTGAAAGCAGGCGTGGCACTTGGAGCACTGGGCTGGCTCTGGTGGTGCGCTTGGGCGCTGGGTCGCCCGGTGCACCGCTTGCCTGGAAGGCATGGCACTTGGTGACATCCACCTTCGTTTCGTGTTGCAGGCGTGGCACTTGGGGCACTGGGCTGGCTCTGGTGGCGCGCTTGGGCGCGCTGGGTCGCCCGTGGCGCCGCGCCACTTTGCGTGGCAGGCGTGGCACTTGGTGACATCCACCTTCGTTTCGCGTGGCAGGTGTGGCACTTGGTAGCATCCACCTTCGTTTTGGTGACATCCACCTTGGTTTCGCGTGGCAGGCATGACTTGGTGACGTCCACCTTCGTGGCACTTGGTGACTATCTTCACACACAACTTTTTCACACACCAACTTTCACACACAACTTTGTCACACCTTTTTTCGCACACAACTTTGTTACACACCATTTTTCACAGACAACTTTGTCACACCACATCTTTCACAGACCCTCTTTCACACACAACTTTGTCACACACCATCTTTCACACACAAACTTTGTCACACACCATCTTTCACACCCAACTTTGTCACACACCATCTTTCACACACAACTTTGCGTGGCAGGCGTGGCACTTGGTGACATCCACCTTCATTTCACGTGGTAGGTGTGGCTTGGTGACATCCACCTCCGTTTCGCGTGGCAGGCGTGGCACTTGGAGCACTGGGCTGGCTCTGGTGGCGCGCTTGGGCGCGCTGCGTCGCCCGGGGCGCCGCGCCACTTTGCGTGGCAGGCGTGGGCACTTGGTGACATCCAGTGACGTCCACCGTCGTTTCGCGTGGCAGGCGTGGCACTTGGGGCACTGGGCTGGCTCTGGTGGCGCGCTTGGGCGCGCTGGGGCGTTTTGCGTGGCAGGCGTGGCACTTGGTGACATCCACCTTCGTTTTGCGTGGCACTTTGCCAAACACAATTCTTCACATACAACTTGTCTTACTTCTCGATCCTCCACCACCTCCTTTGTCTTTCCTTCCTTCCCTGTCCCCGCTACAACATTTGTTGCTCATTTTTGGACGAAGTTGACTTGTGGGGTTATCCGGTCGTTTAATTTGACGCTGAGATGTGGCAAAAGTGCACGCCATTGCGGCGCGAAGCACATTTCCAAGTCAACATGTACAAAACACTTCAGCGTCGGAGTAGTTTTGGACGTTGAGATGTTCAAAAAGTGGAGGCTGCCGTGGCGCCAAGCACATTCCCAAGTGAAAATGTTAAACGCGCACCATTCTCGGAGCACTTTTGGACGTTGAGATCTCCAGAAAGTGCCACAGTTGTGGGGCGAACAAAGTGGTAAAAGCCGACTGTCTCGGACCACTTTTGGACGTTGAGATGTTGGAAAAGTGCAAGGCATTGTGGCGCGAAGCACGTTTAGAAGTCAAAAAGGTAAAAGCACACCACGTTTGGAGGACTTTTCGTGGCAGGGTTTTGAACCTGGCCAAAAGTGGTCAAAACGCGAGGGCTTTGCAGCAGTTTCAAATGCGATGGCAGGCGTTGGACGTTTGAAGAGGATTTGGAAAGATGTATTTCGCGTGGAAGGCGCAATACAAGAGATACCCCCATTTACAACTACAACTACCAGTAGTACCCGCGCGAGGCGGGGCGGAAGTTGCCTTGGGGTTATACTATAAGACTTTTTTTATCATCTATAGAACTTGCGTGGGCCGTACGCCAGCCACGCCCATGTGTGCGTGCGTTCTGCGAAAGGGGTGCGCTGTTCCAAATGTCACACTTGAAGCTCCAGACTTCACACTGCACTCTTCACACTCCACACTCCACACTTCACATTCCGCACTTCATCTCATCTCATCTCATCTCATCTGAGATCTTCTCACCTCATCTCAGCTCATTTCATGTTTCTCATACGTCGTCTGATATGTCATCTAAGTTCTTCTTAATTATTCTCATCTGGTCTTCTTAACTCATCTCAGCTCTTCTCTCATCTCAGCTCTTCTGTACATCAGAAAGTTTTTACTGTCAGCGGGAAGCTTTGTTTTGACAAAGGCCGTTTCTTTTTGGTCGTTACACCCACAGCCTATCTAACAAAGGACGATCAAACACTTCGCACACCCAATTTGGTCATGAACGCCAAATGGTCAATTCCTCATCCCTCCCATAGTTCGACTTGCGCCATCTTTGCAACAGAAAATGAAATGAACGACTGGATGCTACATAAGCATGTTTCTGCACCAATGAAACTAGACGACGGATGGCCCGAGAGCGTAGAGTCGTAGAGGAGCAGGGTCTCCTGTTGTTAGTATTGAAACGCTATCTTACAAGACAATATATTAAAGATCTATTATAGGCAGACAAGAAGAGTAGTATCAAGACAATATTTTACAAGTACAAGACAATAGTTTGCATAATATCCTTCGTATAGTTTTTCACACACAGAACCTTTTACACACAGACGCTTTTGCACAGGCGCTTTTACACGCAGAAGCTTTTATACACAGACGCTTTTACACACAGAAGCTTTTACACGCAGACCCTTTTACACACAGACACTTTTACACACAGACGCTTTTACACATGGAAGATTTTACATACATACGCTTTTACACAGAATCTCTTACACACAGAGGCTTTTACACACAGAAGCTTTTACACGCAGACCCTTTTACACACAGACACTTTTACACACAGACGCTTTTACACATGGAAGATTTTACATACATACGCTTTTACACAGAATCTCTTACACACAGAAGCTTTTACACGCAGACGCTTTTACACATAGAAGCTTTTACATACATACGCTTTTACACACAGAAGCTTTTACACACATACGCTTTTACACACAGACGCTTTTACACACGGACACTTTTACACACAGACGCTTTTACACACACAGACACTTTTACACACAGACGCTTTTACACATAGAAGCTTTTACACACAGACGCTTTTACACACATACGCTTTTACACACAGACGCTTTTACACACAGACACTTTTAGAACAGAAGCTTTTACACACAGAAGCTTTTTCACACAGAGACTTTTGCACACAGACGCTTTTACACACAGAAGCTTTTTCACAGAGACTTTTACACACAGACACTTTTACACACAGAAGCTTTTACACACAGACGCTTTTACACACAGGAGCTTTTACAAACAGACGCTTCTACACACAGACACTTTTACACACAGACACTTTTACACACAGACGCTTTTACACACAGAAGCTTTTTCACACAGAGACTTTTACACACAGACGCTTTTACACACAGACACTTTTACACACAGACGCTTTTACACACAGACGCTTTTACACACAGAAGCTTTTACACACAGACACTTTTACACATAGAAGCTTTTACACAGAGAAGCTTTTTCACACAGAGACTTTTACGCACAGACGCTTTTACACACCGACACTCTTACACACATTCGCTTTTACACACAGACGCTTTTACACACAGAGACTTTTACGCACAGACGCTTTTACACACCGACACTTTTACGCACATTCGCTTTACACACAGACGCTTTTACACACAGACACTTTTACACACAGGCGCTTGTGCGCACAGACACTTTTACACACAGACGCTTTTACACATAGACGCTTTTACACACAGAAGCTTTTACACACAGACACTTTTACACACAGACGCTTTTACACACCAACGCTTTCACACACAGAGACTTGTACACACAGACACTTTTACACATAGAAGCTTTTACACACAGAAGCTTTTACACACAGACGCTTTTACACAGAGACTTTTACACACAGACACTTTTACACACAGACGCTTTTACACACAGAAGCTTTTACACACAGACACTTTTACACACAGACGCTTTTACACACCAACGCTTTCACACACAGAGACTTGTACACACAGACACTTTTACACACAGAAGCTTTTACACACAGAAGCTTTTACACACAGACGCTTTTACACAGAGACTTTTACACACAGACACTTTTACACACAGACCCTTCTACACACAGAAGCTTTTACACACAGACACTTTTACACACAGACGCTTTTACACACCAACGCTTTCACACACAGAGACTTTTACACACAGACACTTTTACACACAGAAGCTTTTGCGCACAGACGCTTTTACACACAGAAGCTTTTACACACAGAAGCTTTTACACGCAGACCCTTTTACACACAGACGCTTTTACACACATACGCTTTTACAGGACACTTTTACACACAGACACTTTTACACACAGGTGCTTTTACACACAGACACTTTTACACACAGACACTTTTACACACAGACACTTTTACACACAAACACTTTCACACACAGAAGCTTTTACACACAGACGCTTTTACACACAGAAGCTTTTACACACAGACACTTTTACACACAGAAGCTTTTACACACATTCGCTTTTACACACAGACGCTTTTACACACAGACGCTTTTACACATAGAAGCTTTTACACACAGAAGCTTTTACACAGAGACTTTTACACAGAGACACTTTTACACACAGACGCTTCTACACACAGAAGCTTTTACACGCAGACCCTTTTACACAGAGACTTTTACACAGAGACACTTTTACACACAGACGCTTCTACACACAGAAGCTTTTACACACAGGCGCTTGTACGCACAGACACTTTTACACACAGACGCTTTTACACATAGAAGCTTTTACACACAGACACTTTTACACACAGGCGCTTGTACGCACAGACACTTTTACACACAGACGCTTTTACACATAGAAGCTTTTACACACAGACGCTTTTACACAGAGACTTTTACACATAGACACTTTTACACACAGACGCTTCTACACACAGAAGCTTTTACACACAGACACTTTTACACACAGGGGCTTTTACACACAGAAGCTTTTACACACAGAAGCTTTTACACACAGACGCTTTTACACACAGACGCTTTTACACACAGACGCTTTTACACACAGAAGCTTTGACCCTTTCACACACAGACGCTTTTACACACATACGCTTTTACACACAGACGCTTTTACACACAGACGCTTTTACACACAGACACTTTTACACACAGACACTTTTACACACAGACGCTTTTACACATAGAAGTTTTTACATACATACGCTTTTACACGCAGACCCTTTTACACACAGAAGCTTTTACACGCAGAAGCTTTTTCAGACAGAAGCTTTTACACACAGGCGCTTGTACGCACAGACACTTTTACACACAGACGCTTTTACACACAGACACTTTTACACACAGACGCTTTTACATACACACAGAACTAGAATTTTACCTCAGTTTTTGGCGATCAAACTTCATTTCGTGCGAAAGGGTTGCGCCGGACGCGTGACAATCGCAATTTTACCCCAGTTTTTGGCGATCCAACTTCATTTCGTGCGAAAGAGTTGCGCCGGACGCCTGAAAATCGCAATTTTGCACCAGTTTTTCGCGATCGAACCCCATTTCGTGCGAAACGGTTGCGCCGGACGCGTGAAAATCGCAATTTTACACCAGTTTTCGCGCGAAAGGGTTGCGCCGGACCCGTGCAAATCGCAATTTTACACCAGTTTTTCGCGATCGATCCTCATTTCGCGCGAAAGAGTTGCGCCGGACGCCTGAAAATCGCAATTTTACACCAGTTTTTGGCGATCGAACCCCATTTCGTGCGAAAGGGTTGCGCCGGACGGTGGCAATCGCAATTTTACATCAGTTTTTGGCGATTGGCGATCGAACTTCATTTCGTGCGAAAGGGTTGCGCCGGCCCCGTGCAAATCGCAATTTTACACAAGTTTTTGGCGATCGAACTTCATTTCGTGCGAAAGGGTTGCGTTTCGTGCGTCTCGTTGGCACTGCCCCGCGCCTTAAGAGAGAAATAGAAAAGAAGGAGAAAGCAAGAGGGCAAGAGAGCAAGAGGGCAAGGGAGCAAGAGGGCAAGGGAGCAAGAGGGCAAGAGAGGATGTGAAGATGTGAGGATGTGAAGATGTGAAGATGAGAAGATGTGAAGATGTGAAGATGAGAAGATGTGAAGATGAGAAGATGTGAAGATGAGCAGATGTTAAGATGTGAGGATGTGAAGATGAGAAGATGTGAAGATGAGTAGATGTGAAGATGTGAGGATGAGAAGATGTGAAGATGAGATGATGTGAAGATGAGAAGATGTGAAGATGAGAAAATGTGAAGATGAGAAGATGTGAAGATGAGAAGATGTGAAGATGAGAAGATGTGAAGATTTGAGGATGTGAAGATGTGAAGATGAGAAGATGTGAAGATGAGAAGATGTGAAGATGTGAAAATATGTGAAATGTGAGGATGAGAAGATGTGAAGATGAGAAGATGTGAAAATGAGAAAATGTGAAGATGTGAGGATGTGAGGATGAGAAAATGTGAGAATTGAAGATGTGATGTGAAGATGTGAAAATTGCTGACAGACCCCCACTATTAGAAGAACCCTTCGCTCAGACGCTCTCGGGAAAAACGTTTCTTATACATCCTCTATATATTCAAGACATTGTCAAAGAGCAGAGCCCTGGTAAGGAAAAGTATGAAGTTGATGTCACAGGCTGTTCGAAGCAACCTCCACGAACCACAGGATCAGGACTTGTTTTTCGTCTAAGCCGATCGGTGCAGTCAGCGATCACGCGGGCCAATCTGTTGCGCATGCAAGCAGAGACGCTTTTACCCACAGAAGCCTTTGGACACAGTAAGCTTTTACACAGAGACGCAGAGAAGTTTTTATGCGCACAAAGCTTGTACACATAGGAAGCTTTTACACACAGGAGCTTTTACACAGAGACGCTTTTACACAGAGAAGCTTTTACACGGAGAAGCCTCTACTCACAGCAAGCTTTTACAGACAGCCAACTTTTACACACAGAAGCCTTTACACAGAGAAGCTTTTACACACAGAAGCTTTTACGCAGAGGAGCTTTTATTCGCAACGGCGCCAGAAAGTGATCTTGAAACACTTGTTAAAATAAAATTTAGAAGGAACATCATCAGCGCCAAAATTGAGAAAAATCTGCTGACGAATCACCATGGTAACCTTCCTGCATCCAGCCCAATACGATTTGCAATGTCCAGCTGCAAAAGACAATGGTATTACGCGCGCAGCCACAGCACCAAGGAACCTTGATGCAGCCATTACAATGCGAACTGCAGAGACCTGTTGAAAACACCATAGAATGACGAGCAATGGCAACAGAAATTGCAGCTCCAAAACCGGATCTCGGCGCCAAAGCGGAAAAATGACTATTTTGAAGCACTTGTGAAAAAGGATTTAAAGGGGGAAATCCGCAGCGCTAGGGGTTCTGGATGAAATTTAGGCTGAGGTCAGATGTTCTTTTGAGAAGTTTCTGGTCCTCTAGCTTTGTGGCTTGAGGGAATGCCCCCGGGGTCGTTGTGTGCCAAGTGTCGTCAGCTGGTCCCTTCTCCTGGCGATACTTGGTGCATAGGTTGCATCAGTTGGGAACTTCTTGGCCGTGAACAGTTGGGATTCTGTTGGCGCCAGACCCCTTGCCGGTGACATTGTGCTGAACGCAGCACGCCAAGTCAGGGCGTTACGCTCGTTGAGCGCTAGCCTTGCCAGGTGCTCCGAGGGGGGGACCGCTGGCAGCAGCCGTGCGGATACCCACCTGACTAGGAGAGAAGAGGAGCATCGCGAGAGGAGAAGTTCCCTGCCAAGGAGGAGGTCCCACGACCAGGCCTCGCACCACGCCAAGCGTTCCGACGAGTCGAGGAGAAGAGCTCACCAGAGAGGTGGCCGCAAACATCAAAGGTTGGGGCGATTGGCAACTAACCTTTTGTTGGAGGTGCACCGCAAACCAAGTGAAGACTTCTGGGCTTTGACATCCACTCGAGAGAGACCTTTCGAGTTGGGAAACCTTTGCAAATAAGATGGGACACTTCGTCAGCGGAGAAGAAGTTGACGTTGACGACATCGACAAATGGAGTGCTTTGCAGCCCGCTCGAGGCGCTTGTTTGGAGGTGAACCTGCCCACTTCCAGTCTTGCTCTTGCGGACGACGACTGGGGAGCTTTCCTGGTGGACCGGGTGGACGCCAAGCTAGATGCCAGCTTGAAGCGCCACTTCAGCAGAGGCGTGGTCAGCTTTGGAGGCCTTGGTGCAGGGGGAGTTCTTGACGATCCACCTCTGCTTGAGCCGCCCTTGCATATAGATAGAGCCTGAAGTTTGTCTTCACGTCGCAAGAGCCAGGTTCTGGTGTGCAGAAGCGTTTTTGTCTTGCGAGTACATCAAGAAGGACAAGTTGGCGCTTCTCAAAAGGTGGCTCAAGGAAATGGCCCCTACAGCCACGGGACCTCGAAGACGTCCGCCTGCAAAAGAGGAGCGCGTGAAGCCTGGAGCTACAGAGAAGCGTGCCCCTCGAAAGAAGCCTGCATGCAGTTGCTGGCGATGGCCGTGCAACAGCAATGACAAAAGAATTGCGAGGAGAGTTGAAGAAGAAGTTAGAAAAGGCCAAAAAGGCCAAAGGACGTGCCGTTGGAGATGGAGAAGAAGTGGAAGAGCCAGATGGAGCAGGAGACGAAAGCTCGGATGGTTCGATCGAGGAGGTGCCGGCCCGCGAGACGGGTACAGTGCTGGCAGGCGCCGAGGCACTACGTACTCGACGGGGCAAGGATGTGCTGGCAACAACCGCCGATGCACGTCAGGGTACAAAAGGAAGTTCTACGAAGAGCTTGAGCGGGCAACTGGTGGCTCAGGCGATGGCAGTTGCGAGTCATCGGAAGAAGGTGAAAGCGAAGAACAAGAAGCCCAAGCGCGATAAGAGGAAACAGGTGGTGGATGCCTTGGTGAAGATCCTTACACCATCTTCTTCAACGGCGACAGAGAAGAAGAAAAAGAAAAAGAAGAAAGGGCAGAGGAAAAGGAAGACCTTAGCCGATGGGACGATAGTCTCTTGCAGTTCCGACTTCAGCAGCTCTGCGGAGGAGGAGTCAGCAGACAAGGCAAGCAGCGAGTCGGACTTGGAAGCCAGTGAAAAAGAAAAGCAGGGATCACCCTGGATCGGTCCTAGCCCTCCTGACGAACCATGTCAGGGAGCAACTGGAGCAAGGTTCCTTGACGGAGCTTCGAGAAGGAGGGAACATGGTGACAGGGGGCATCAAAGTGGCAACCTACTTTGCACAGCTGAGGGAGCTCCGAGAGATGCACTCCCTGGCGGCGACCCTGGATCTCCTGCGAGGAGGCGACATCGCCAGAGTGGGAGAGGCCGATTTTTAGCCCCGAAAAGAAAAATCTTTAGCCCTGAAAAGGTTTTTTTTAAGCCTCGTAAATAGGTTTAGCCACGACAAGTTAACATCTTAGCCGAGTCAAAAAACAGCTTGGCTGCCAGGTTTATGGCGCAGCAATATCAGAACTGACAGACGGCGCGCTTCATGGAACTACATCCAATGGAGGACACGAGCTCAGGCTCAGCAGCCATTGGCCACTCGAAAGCACGGACGTTTGGTCGACAAGGTCCAGGGCAAAGATCGCGGAAGCTGGGGTGGATGGTTCCCCTCAAATCGAGGTCGTGGAAAAGGAGGCTGGAAAGGTCAAGGAGAAGGTGGCTTTGGTCAGAGGAGCGAGAAAAGAAAGAGCAAGGATCGAGGCAAGAAGAGCAAAGGAAAGGGAGCCCAGTGGGACAACAAAGTCTCGGAGTGGGCCAACAGCAAGGACAAGGCAGAGGAGAAATAATTCCGACTCTGGCGACAGCCGTGAGTAAGGAGAGCACAGCAGCAACTTTGGATTGGGGAGACATTTTGAAACTTTGCGCTGACTTGAACAAGAGTGGGTGCGCTTTAGCTTGGTGTCTCTTCAATGCCGAAGAGCTCTATCACCAGTATGGGAATTCGACGTTTAAACGCTGCTTCTTCGTCATGGACATGGAGCTCAAGGCTGGGCGTCGTCGCTCAGCTTTTCCTTTCTGTGAAGGAGATTTTGCGGCAACAAAGGAAGTTTGTCAAAAGACTTCACTGGCAGAGTCGGTTACCGACACTTTTTGCCTGAGCTGGAGGAGAAGGGCCTGGGTCGTGCTGGCCTGTTGCACCTGCAACAGTCTCTGGAGCCGGCCGCAACCTTTTTGCAGTGGCGGCTGGTGCAAGGAGGCAAAGCGCATGGTGTTAGCCGTGGAGACGTCCGTTGGTCGGATGGAAAGCCACGGCCTAGCCGAGCACATTGACTTTGAAGGCCTGGAAAAGGAGCTGTCATCAGTTGAGCTTGGAGCAAGTTATAGCAGCGTTGCCCCCTAAACAGAATGGAGCCTCTATTGACGTTTTGGACTTAGTTAGTGGTACAACAAGAGCTTTCCTGGGGGATCCTAAACGTATGCTGGTTGAGGATGTAGGGCAGAAATTGCCAAAGCTACAAGGGCGTATTCATATCGAGAAAGGAGATGACAATGCCATCGCAGCAGAATTGGTGGCCAGAGGTATTTGTGTGTGGAAGAGCCTGGAGGAAGTGGTCACGTATGAGGGTGAGAAAGTTTTGAATGGTTTGTTCGGCGTGCCGAAGCCCTCTTTTACAGCTTCTGGAAAATCAGTATTGAGGTTAAGTATGAATTTAGTCCCCTCCAATTCTATTCTGCGACAATTTCAAGGAGCCACCAAACATCTTCCCCATATCACTGCCTGGTTATCAACATTTGTAGAAGAAGGTGAAGAACTTCGTATTTGGCAGAGTGACATGCAGAACGCTTTTTTTAATCTAGGATTCCTCCACAATGGCATAGCTTTCTGAGTTTCAACATTGTGCGTCGGCGCTGCGATGTTATGATATCTGAAGATGCAGACTTGGTGGCCTTGGCATGTAATGTGCTCCCCATGGGCTGGGGAATCAGTGGCGATAATGCAGGAGATCAGTGAAGGTCGGCTTTCTATCCCCACCATGCCGGCCGAGACACAAATTAGACGGGGAAAACCGATGCCTTTGTGGATGTTTTGTTTGTTGGAGGAAGCCCACAAGGGCGGAAAGTTTTGGTGGCATGTTTGTGTGGACAATTTTGCTGCAGGGCAAGTCGATAAACCAGAGGGAAATTTCACTGGGGGGGAGATGGTACATCAATTGGCTGAGGAAGCATGGTCAGCAGCTGGCGTTGTGTCACCGCCGAAAAAGCGGAAAGTGACTGCTCAAGAATTAGGGGCACATTTTGCCAAGAATTGGGGGCACATTTTGATGGCGTTGCCAGGACGATGGGGCCCTCTCCAGAGCGGCTTATCAAACTGGTACAGGCCACAATCTGGCTGTTAGGGAGAAAAGTGATGGCAAGGCGTTGGTAGCTGGACGTTGGGTGCACGTATTTCAGTTTAGAAGACCAGCTATGTCATTTCTGTCAGCACTGTGGGAATACACCTCATCGAAAGGGTGGCAGCCAGGGCTTGAAATAGCTACCCGCAGGTTGCCTGGGAGCACTGCCGCTGTTACATACTTTTTTGTGGGCTGGAATCATGGAGGTGACCACGGCATCTGACGCTAGAAACCCGAAACAGTGTGGGGGAGCGGTTGGATAATGTATGATAAAGGATGATAGTGGTGCGAACGATGATGTTGAGGCTGATAATGTTGCGGAAGATGAGGTGGAGGAGGATGATGTTGCGGAAGATGAGGTGGAGAGTGATGATGTTGAGGATGATGATGTCAAGGGGGAGGAAGATGATTATGTTGAGGATGATGAGGTGTAGGGTGATGATGTGGAGGATGATGAGGTGGAGGATGATGAGGTTGAGGATGGTGATGTCAAGGGGGAGGAAGAGGATGATGTTGATAATGATGATGTGGAGGAGGAGGAAGAAGATGATGATACTGAGGAGGAGGAGGAGGAAGAGGAGGAGGAGGAGGAGAACCGATCAGCGGACCGCGGCGCACGGTTTGCGCGAGCCTTCTCAGTCGAAATGCACCTGGAGATGTCACAAGAGCCGCGTTATACGGAAATTTACAGGTAAAATGCCGCAGACCAGAATGAGCCCAGAACGCAGACACAGACTTTGCGCGAGCCTGCCCGGTCAAAACGCATGTCAAGATTTCACAAGAGCCACTCTACACGGAAATTTACAGGAAAAATGCCGTCGCCCAGGGTGAGCACCCTGATCAAGCACCGGCCTTTACACTTACCGTAAGAACCACTCAGTGTGGACACACTGTTTGGGGAACTTACCGTAAGAACCCCTCAGTGTGGACACACTGTTTGTGGAACTTTGTACATGTAGCTGGTGCTTGGTCATGCATGAGAACAACAATTTCTGCCGTATGTACTTTGGATCGTGAGAGGGCGTCTCTTCCTATGCTGCAAGCTACAAGTGCGTTTGCTTGTTCAGTGCCACGTTCAAAACAACATTCCGCAGGTAAATCCTATTCTGTGAGTTGGATCATGCGTGAGCAATTGCTCCCAAGACACTGTGAGCCGAAACAACATATCGGGTAGATGGCTCTGGCAACAGGAGAAGACAAAACGTGACAAGAGAAGACAAGAAGTAGAACGCAAAGAGACACTTTGTGCGAGCCGGCGCAATCGAAACGCATGTCAAGATTTCACAAGAGCCACTTCATGCGGAAATTTACAGCAAAAATGCCGCGCCCCAGAATGAGCCCAGAACGCGGACACACATTTTGCGCATTTTTGCGCAAGACTGCGCAGTCGAAACCCATGTCAAGATTTCACAGGAGCCACTTTATACAGAAATTTACAGGAAAAATGCCGCGCCCCAGCACCACGGCGCAGACTTTGTGCGAGCCTGCGCAGTCAAGACGCACGTCAAGATTTCACAAGAGCCACTTTACAACGAAATTGACAGGAAAAATGCCGCGGCCCAGATTGAGCCCGGATTGCAGACACACACTTTGTGCGAGCCAGCGCAGGCGAAACGCATGTCAAGATTTCACAGGAGCCACTTTATTCAGAAAAAAGTGGGAAAAATGCCGTGCCCCAGATTGAGCCCGGAACGCAGACACACATTTTGTGCGAGCCTGCGCAATCGAAATGCATGTCCACATGTCACAAAAGACATTAGAAGAGCCACTTTACACGGAAATTTACAGGAAAAATGCCGTGGCCCAGATTGGGCCCAAGAACCTAGGCGCGCACTTTGTGCGAGCCTGCGCAGTCGAAACGCACGTCAAGATTTCACAAGAGCCATTTTACACGGAAATTTACAGGAAAAATGCCGCAACCCAGAGTGAGCACCCTGATCAAGCACCGGCCATTACACTTACCGGAAGAACGCCTCAGTGCAGTCACACTGTTTGGGGAAAAACACCGTTTTCTGCCAGCCGTGCGTCACAACAACTCACCCCTCCTATAGGCTTAGGTATCTGTGTATATGTATGAACATTTCGTGTATAGGCATGTCAACTAGTGTTGCTGGAGATGTTGGTACATGTAACTTAATAGTTCTTGAAGGTGGATTCTCTGACAGATCTGATTCCACCAGCCAAGGTATGTGACGGTTTCAGCCGCTCTGATGGGAAGGACCAACTTTGCAGCAAGGAGGCGCTGTTGAGCCCAAATTTTTCAGACAAACCCTTCTCAAATTTTTATGAACGTTTTTCACTAGTTTCAACGCAGGGAAGATGAACAACAAAACAACCAACCCAGCAGTTGCTACCCTGGACGTCAGTGGAGGCGGTGGAGGATGCAATTTTTGACAGGAGTATTTCACACATGTGGGTGCTTCACCCATGTGAACTCACTGATTCCATAAGTGTGCTAGGCCTATCAACAGTTCTTAGACAGCGTCCAGGACATTCTGACTCTCCTAGATGGTTTGTTCGCAGGAAATTGATTTGGGGTTGCAGAGCAGGCTTTTGAATTCATTATCGGTTAATGTAAGTTAATGTATACAACCACATTTCTTTATTTTACATTTATATGATATGTATTGCATATGGAGAGTTGAAACAAAAGATAGACACTTCATCAAAGTGGCAAGGAAGTCGCTGGCCTTGCAGGAGCTATGTGCTTCCGGAGAGCTGGGAAATTGTCAAATTTTGGAGCCGGGCTCTGAGCTGCGACCAGCAATGGCCAGCTGATTTCACCCACAACAGGTCGTGGGTTGTGTTTTTTTTAAACTATGTCCATCTATGTCTATCTGTTTCTATCATTTTCTATCTATTTCTATCTATCTATTTGTATCTATTAGTATCTGTTTCTCTCTCTATTTCTCTCTATTTCAACATATATGGGCAGGGAAAAATGCAACGGAAGTCGCCATCATTATCTCACAAACCTCCTAATACAGAGGTGGCACCCAAAGTCCACCGAGACCCTCTCAGACTTTTGGACCTTGATCCAAGGTTGAAATCCTGCCATGGGTGCGCCAAGCCGGCGCAAACCGAAATTCAAAGGGGGGTAGTGCCTACTTAGCATGGTGATGAATAGGTTGTATAACCCCACCACCGATGGTGGACTGATGATTATTGTAGATATGATATGAATGTCACTGTCACTTGCTGTGGCATACCTCTGTGAGAGGTATGGCTTGGCACTCTCTGCAGCTCTTGCAGAAGTTGTTACGGAGTTCGTCTTCGTAGTGCACTGCTGGGCGCGTCAGAAACATCATAAAGATCGGATTCACTCAATCTTACAAAGGATGTTTCTTCTTTTATTTGTTTTCTTGAAGGTTGATGTAGCCTATCAAGATGGACAGGTTCGTTGCCAGTTTGGAACAGATGTGAGGGCAAATCCTCTGAGATTTTGGCGAGGTACAGCATGATTGGCTCCTGGTGAAGGACGTGGACCTGGGCCCAGTGGTGCGGTTCCTGATGATAGGATCACCCTGAGCATCGGCAACGCAGCTTGGTCCTGGCTTAGGTCAATGCGATGGATTTGGATGCAACAATCAAGTATGTGGGCCTGCAGTCCTTGACCACGCTGGACTATGTTCCTTTGACTCTAGCAGTGCCCAAGTCGGTTGCAATTTCCATCTCAAAACAGATTCGCCAAAATGAACAGGAGAAGGGTTCAAGATCATCCAAGATCTGGAATTGCCACCAATTCTTGGCATCACAGATGGCTGTACAGCTGTGTATCTCAGGCTCGACGAATGCAGCTGAGGCTGGGAATTCCTGGGGGTCAATACTTTTGTAAAGACCCCATAAGAGAGGAGGAATGCGACAAGCGTACCCCAGCATACCCCATCCATCTAAAGAGCTTTGATTTGACCATCGAACAGACGAATCTCGGATAATCTTGGACAGCTCCGAAACTTGTGACGGGGAGTCGGGAAGCAGATACAACTTGCAGCTCCCACCTGATCGCCACCTCTGTGGTTTGCGACTGGTTCCGCAGCTGCTTTGGCCACTTCCTAAGCGCTGAGCTGTTGAGGAAATGGCGGAATGGCGGAATGTTGATATTGCCAAGGTATGACAAACCACACCTGACAAGAAAAAAGCACTACTTGGAGGTGAGTTGCAGAATGGATCAAAATGGTCAGAATGCAGCCAATCGAGTCGACCATGCTGGATTTGATACGCGACATGTTAAAGTTAAAGCAAGACTTTGGCTCCTGCTTCAGCTGCAGGTAGTTCTCCCTGAAGCCAAGATGGGTGTCTTTCAAAACCCCGAGCGGAGGTGGGAGCTGTACAGGTACGATCAGGTAAGCTCTATTGTAGCCGGGCATAGGCCCTTGGGCAAAATTTTGGCTCACTTGTTTCAAAACTGAACTGTCGTTTCCGTGGCTCATCCTTGTCGGATTTGTTTGAATCATTTTGGACCAAGAGGTATGGAGTGGATCAGATGTGGCCAAAGTTGTTGCATGCTGAGAATCTGGAGGAGGACTTGTGGCACATTTCACGGCTTTCATCTCATCCCTAATTAAAAAACGGGTTTCCGTGCGCGGCACAGAACCACTTGGGGATCGCTGACTGCAGGAGCATTTGCGCCATGGCACCTTCTTTTGGGATGTTGGAGCCGAGGTTGTGCTTGCCTGGCTCTACTTGGCTCTACAAAGCTATCTTTAGTACTTTTGCTTGGTCGCCAAATGCCAGATACAGTGAGAGGTATATTAGAAGGCGCAGGATAGTGGGGGTAACAACAGCGGATCCAGAAGTGTTGAAGATATCACTGCAACCAAACAACCCCAAATTGCGCAGATCATCTCGTCCATATTGTTCAGCTTTTGTAGCAGGACCAACTGATCCATACCCACATAGTGACTGGTGAAGGCTGCCAGGTACCACCTTTCTGGCCGGAAGCTGCTGGCCGTGGATGAAGATGCTGAAACAGAGAGGAGCTTGGTGGGCCCTGGGAGCAGAACTCATGTACCAAGACCGCAACTTGAGAAGGCAAATGAAGGGCTGACAGTTTCAAGAGCAGCCGATATGCCTAAGTAGCCGGGCAAAAAAGACCCAATGGTCCCAGCATGTTTGGAACGTGGCACGGCAGGCCAGAAGGCTTGTATGGT